TGCGACCATCTGGTCTTTTATTATACATTAGGTCTTCTGTAGGGTTTTAAGGTCTTATTAAGTTTTCTATAAGTCCTTTAGCATTTCTATAAGACCTTTAGGTCTTCTATAGGACCTTCGGGTTTCCTATAAGATCTTCAGGTCTTTTATAAAACCTTCTGATATTTTAGAAGAACCCTGTTTTCCTTTAGACCTCTTGGCAAGATTTTTGATCTTTCACGGGAAACCTTTTTTTGCTTCTACCTCCCTCATCTTCCGTAATAAAACCATTTGATATCTGATAAAAAATCCTAGGAATTCCCGATAACACCTCCAATTTGTCTTCATTAAATGCCATAGCACACGACACCCCTAACCCTAAAATATCGATCCAGTTTGTTGCGGTTTTTTTATTTATACTTCCCAGAACTATATAATAATATTTTTTTTTTACAATTCATTATCATGATAATGTTTACAATCTAAATGCCCGAATATTAAAAACAAAACAAAAAATTAAATAATGAAACGATTTCAATGAATGACTCGCTGAAATTAATCGGCTGAGCATAGCAACAACGATTCTTATCAATACGAAGATGGTGTTGTTTTTGTGGGTTTTGTTTGCAGCCGCCAGCCGGTTGCCGTACCGCCGCATCATCAGAAATCGTGTCATGTCGTTGTTAATGTTGTCCGATTCGCTGTCGTTGTCGGGTGTTTTTTTTTCAATTTTTTTTTCTTTTTTGTTAATAATGTTATCTGGTATGTGAATGTTTGCTATTTTTTTTCATTCTTTATTTTTTATTATAATTTATACGAATGTATGAACAAAAAAGAAATTTCTAGCAGGGATTTGTATGTATGTGAAGAAACGTGTAAACACATCGGTTGGTCGTTTGGTTAGTGGCTACGTACGTACGTAAGTTTTGATTCGGTAAGGTATTTTGATAGAGACTACCGAGCAACACTGATACAGGCACACACATACCTTCACATTAATATTAATTGTGTTTATTTAACAACAGATTCAGAATACAGACTTATAGATAAATACGTATGGACATACAGACATATATGTATGTATATAGTATATACACATATGTATATAACATTATGTGTGTGTGTATATATGGGCGAAAGTATATAAAACGTGATTTGTTATGAATGTGATATTGGCGTTGTTGCTGTTGTTGTTTTGTATTTCTGTTTTGATAACACACATTCACACAATTTGTTATGCACCCATGTGTGGGCCATATAGTCAGTCACAGTTCGGAACGAACATTCATTTCATACAATCTAACTGAAAAATGAAATATGGCCCAACCTATAAAATTGTTTTTTTTTTCTCTGTACAGATACGGCAAGTCTCGATTATCGTTATCGGAATGTCTGACAAACGTTTTTTGTTTTTTTTTTCATTATTATTTCATAAACAGCAATGATTTGTGTTTTATTTTTTTTTTTCTTTCTCAACAAAAATTTATACAAACTTATATGGACAGACAGACGGATGGATATATTAAGTTGTCGTTCGTAATTCATTCAAGTATTCCCAATGGGAAGACGAAGAAGGAGGAGTTGGAGTAGGGCAATGAGATATTCCGACACGTTTGTTGTGTACAAACAAACACCTTTTGTCCGATAGTTGTTGCTGTTGATTAACTGGATATTACATAAACAAAAAAGTAGTAACAAGAAAATGAGAGCGGGGAGGGGGATGGTATGATGTTAGGGGCTAATACACAATGTCAATAGGACACGTTTTTTTTGCTGTCTCTAAGAGAATAACACCTCACCTCAACGAGACTGACGTCAATCGATCGGCCGGCCAACTAAACGTCGTCGTTTGTAGATAACATTATGAAAGTTGTTTATCAAGAGGTTTGTAGACAAACACATACACACTCACACACGCGATAACACATTTACATACATACGAATGTTTGTTATTTTAAATAATTAACATTTAAATATACATATGTATGTACATATATGGATATCAGAAAATAAAAAAATAACTGGAGTGTAAGATTTTCAGACGTGGAATATTTCCTGTTTTTTTTTTTTTCTATAGAAAAATATAATGGTGTTTCTATATAAGGAGACCTTTTTATGGAAGATTTGCAAGGCCACTTTATAGAAGAACAGATGTGAATTCTTGATAGAAGAAAATGTTCTCTAAAAAAAAAGACGATCTGCAGATCTATTCTTAGAGGGCTTCTTCATGGAAAATCTGAAGGTATTTTTATCCAAAGAAGACTGAAGGTCTTCCTCATAAAAATAACTGTTGAACTTTTTTTTTTGTCTCCAAGGAAGAGCTGGAATTCTTTTTCGTAGAAGATCTGAAGGACTCTTCTTTATAGAAGAGCTGACGGTCTTCATCTTGGTAAAAAAACTGAAGGTCTTCTTCATAGAAGAACTGAAAGTCTTCTTCTTCAGAGAAAGTCTTGAGGTATTCTTCATAGAAGTGCTGGTGTTCTTCTTCACAGAAGAGCTGAAGGTCATTTTCATAGAAGAGCTGGAGGTCTTCTTCTTCATAGAAGAGATGGAGGTCTTCTTCTTCATAGAAGAGATGAATGTCTTCTTCATAGGGGTGCTGAAGGTCTTCTTCACAGAAGAGCTGGGTTTTTCTTCGTAGGGGAGCTGGAGATCTTCTTCTTCATAGAAGTACTGAAGGCCTTCATCCCAATAGAAATATCGGAGGGTTTTCTTATGAAAAACGTGAAATCTTCTTCATAGAAGACCTGAAGGTGTTCCCTTTCATGGAAGATTTGAAGGTATTCTACCTCATAGAAAAGCTGATGGTCTTCTTCCCCATAGCAGAACTGAAGGTCTTCTATCCCACAGAAGAGCTGAATACCTACATATAAAAGATCGGAGGGCCCTCTTATGAAAAACGTGAAATATTCTTTTTAATAGAAGATCTGAAGGTCTTCTTCTTCATGGAGGATTTAAAGGTCTTCTACCCCATAGAAAAGTTTATAGTCTTCATCCTCACAGAGAAGCTGACGAAATTTTTTTTTCAGAGAATCGCTAAAGGTCTTCTGCTTCATAGAATATCTGAAGGCCTTATTCTTTATAGAGACCTACATATTGAAGATCGAAGGGTCTTGTCATGGAACCGGGAGAACAGAAGGTATTCTTGTGGAAGCTCTTCTTATAGAGAATCTAAAGGTTATCTTACAAAAACTAGAATATCGAAAAGATCTGAAGGTGGTCTTATAAAGACTGGAAGGTGTTCTTATAAAGGTCGAAATATTGAAAGGTTTTCTATATGAATACGATATATTCTTGTGGGGGACATTGATAATTTTTCGGTCTTCTTATAGACGACCGAAGGGTCTTTTTTATAGAAGTCCCAGAGGTACTCTCATATATGACCCTGAAATCTTCTTATAGAAGACCCAGAAATTTACTGATGGATGACCAGGAGATTTAAGAGGTACTGTTATAGAAAACCCAGAGATATTTTTATAGAAGTACCCGACATTTTCTTTTGGAAGTTCCAGATATATTTTAATTTCTAGAGACCTTCTTTTAAAATTCCCACAGATCTTTTCATAGGAGTCCCAGACGATTTCTTAAAGAAGTCCCAGAGGTCTTTTAATGTAAATTCTAAAGATCTTCTTATAGAAGTCCGAGAGATCTTCTTTCAGAAGACCCAGAGGACGACATATTGAAGACCAAGAGGATTTCTTATATCAGTCCCAGAGGTCTTCTCATAGATGAAGTCTTTTTTATAGAAGTTCCAGAGGTATTTTCATAGAATATCCAGAGATCATTTTATAGAAAGCCCAAAGACCAAATGATCTTCTAATAGAGGACCGGATGATCTTGGTTTAAAATGCCAGTTGGTTTTCTTATAGAATATCCAGAGATCCTTTTATAGAAGTCCCAGAGATGTTGTTTATAGAAGTCGCAGAAATCCTCTTATGAAAGTCAAAGAGATATCTTCTTATAGAAGTCGCAGAGATTTTCTTAAAGAATTTCCAAAAGTCCTACAGTTCTGCTTATAGAAGTCCCAGAGATCTTCTTATAGAAATCCAAAGAGATCTTTTTATAGAAGTCCCGGAAATCTTCTTATTGAAGTCCCAAAGATCTTCTAATTGAAGTCCCAGAGATTTTCCTAAAGAATTTCCAGATATCTTCTAATAGAAGTCCCAGATATCTTCTCATAGAAGTCCGAGAGTTCTGCTTAAAGAAGTCCCAGAGATCTTATTATAGAAATCAAAGAGATTTACTTATAGATTTCCCAGAGAAAGAAGTCCGAAGTTTGCTGATAAAATCCCAAATGTTCCTCTCATAAAAGACTAAATGACCTTCCTATAAAAAACTCCCTGATCTCCTCATTAAAGACCCAATTTTCATAGAAGAAACAAAAGTCCCAATGGATTTCCCATAGTAGTCCCATTGGCCCCTAAAGTTTCCACATAGAAGTGCAGATGATATTTTCATTTAAACCGAACAAATGGTTTTCTCAAAAGTGGACCAATATGGAATACCCAATGGTCTTCTCAAAGAATACCTTATCATCGATGTCTTTTCATAGAAGATGCAAAAGGACTTCTTGATATAAGGTCAAGAGAACTTATTCTTTGGATAAGAACCTTCTCCCCTTATTTCATTTTTTTTCCTTTAAACAGAATTACACCTTTTTACCCCAATTCTAAAGAAGCAACTTTTTGCTGTCCATTTTTCCAAAAAAAAACCCTGACCTTTTCAAACTAAAAATTTCCACGGAAAATGTTCACACAAATTCCAGGGAACACCGTTACTCACTTTGATCCCTATTTCCACAAATAAAATAATTCCATTTTATTTCAAGCTAGACGACCTTGATATTTTAAGGACACTGTCAAAGTAACTGAAGTGTATACATAAAGAAGAAGAAAAAAAAAACAATAAAGAAATAAATATATACATTCTCTATACCGAATTTCAATTTCGGTTCGAACAACAAATTGGTTCGATAATACCAAAAATGCTGTTTTTCTTGTTGTTGTTAGAACAAAACTTACTTTTCATACTTAACGGAATGTGGAGCATGTCCATTGGCATCACCCCAGTACGGTTCCATAATTTCGTTTTTAATTTTTGTGGGGCGTTTGCCGCTTAGATTCGTCGTGCCCTTGTTGCCGTTAATGATGAGGCTGGTCTGCGGGACAATTACAGGAATATTGACTGACGATAGATTCAGGCTGGAGCAACTACCGAGGCTGTGGGGATGGTAACTGCTGCTGCTGCTACTACTGGGATGTCTTGTTGGTTGTTGTTGTGGTAGTGGAACATCAACTAAATGGTTGCAGGGCGAAGAAGAAGACGAAGGTGCAGTAGGGGATATTTTTGTTGGAGGTTGTTTTAAATCTTGTTGCTGTTGCGGTGGAATGTTGAATTTTTTTCTTGATAAATCCAGAATTGAAAAAAAGAATTTCTTTTTACAGGTACACTGTGTTTGGTTGGGTTGGCGAAGAGAGTGAATTTTTTTACGTTTCTCTTTTCATTTACTCTCACTTATTTATTTATTTTTTGTTATTTATTTGGCTTTTACACTCAAACAGGTTGTTTTTAGGTTTTGGTGGGATTTGTTGTTGTTTTTAATTTTTATCTGGTGAATGATGAATGATTTCGTCGTCTTTGTCGTCTGACCGTAGTATCTCACACAACCAAAATTTTTGAAATTAAAAAAAAAATATCTTATTCAAAGGAAGTCAACAACTGAGATGAAATTATTGAAAAATATACACATGTGGTTGTTGTAAAAAATATATATTTTATTTTAATTTTTATGTGGTTGTTTTGTTTTCTTTTGTTTTGAAAAAATATTCACTTTTGTTGTTGATTTTTTATTATTTATTTATTTTAATTCTCAGGTGGGTTGTTTTCTTTTTTAGAATTTTGATGGGGTGTTTTTTTATTTTATGAATTTTTTTTAATAGCAATTTTTTGTAATAATTTTCAAAAGAAATTATTACAGCCACTTTTTAACTTGTTGTTGTTGGTTTTTTTTCATGGGATTTTTTCACACACTTTTTTTAAATGCTTTCATATATTTAATGATATCTATAAAGGAAGAAAAAAAATAAAAAAAATATATTAATTGGGTTAATGAAATAAATAAAAAATAATAAAAAACGTATTATATATAAAAATATTATTATTTTATATTTTTGTTAAAAATTTATGTGTGCATATTTCGTTGAGTTATTTTCATGAAATTTTTGTTCATATTTAAATATATATATATATATATATATATATATATTTTTATATATATATATATTTAATTTAATTAATAAAAATTGAATTGATGTTTTTAATTTTTTTCTCTCTGATTTTATTATTTATATTTGCCTTTTTATAAAGTTTGAATTAATTTTTTTAATTTTTTACTTATTTTTTAATTTTTATTTTATTAAAGTATATTTTTATTTTTAAAATAGCATATATTTTTTAATATTAAAATTGTGTATTGTTTATTTATATTTATATAACCTCCATCATGGTAAGGAGGATATATGCAATTTTGTTATTCCGAAAATCATGAAAAAATACTAAGCCTTGTCCTCGCTTCAGTTGTAAATCACGCTATATTCTGAAATCAAGTTCGAAGATAAGCTATTTCAGACCACATTCTAGGGTAGCTGCCATACAATGGTCCTTCCAAATTTTCGATACTTTCAAGATTATGGACACATAGCTTAACCGAATTAACTGAAATTTAGTATCAGTAGACAACAAATATCCCTATTAAAAATTATAACCAGTAAGGAAAATGGTAAAGTCGGACTGAGCCGACTATATGATACCCTTCACCACTTTGGGTATATTCTACATATGTATCATAAAAGACGTCGTCTTTTCGAAGGAACATTGACATGAAATTGAACGATCTAAATATGCGATCTTTATTTATAAGTATCGTAAACCGACCAAATTTATGGGAAAAATATGGCGGTTTTGGTGCATTATTTACCTTAAATCCGACGAAAATATACTATATGGGAGCTATATCTAAATCTAAACCCATTTTCACGAAACTTAGCACATTCGACTAAATTCAGTGCGCTATTCCAAAATTCGTGCAAATCAAAAGATATATAGGGGCTTTGGTACACCATTTACCCTAAAACAGACAGAAAATATATATGAGAGGTATATCTAACTCTGGTCTGATTTCCTCGAAACTTGACACACGTCATTCTAGACTTAATTCAGTACACCATGCAAAATTTCGTGCAAATCGAAAGATATGCACCATGCACCATTTACATAAAATCGGACGAAAATATACATGGGAGCTACATCTAAATCTGATCCGATTTTCTTCAATTTCAATAGGGTCCTTGGGCCATATATGTGACCTATGCCAAATCCCATGCAAATCGGATCATAAATGCGACCTGTACTTTGTTTACAATTTAACACCAACAAACGAACACAGTGTGGTGAAGGGTATACAAATTAGAAAACTTTTTCGGATAGCTCCATATAACGATACCCCCAAATTTCCGATATTTTGTGGAGCTTGGGCACATTTTTCAAAGGAAATAGTTGTAATTTGTTATTTTGACTTCCCATTTTGAACGAAATCTAGCTACTAAAAATTATAAATATTGGTCCAACTTTTTGGGGTTGCCACCATATATCCTGATATTGAGAATTTTGGTCAAGTTATTCGATCGAATTGGCTGTATTTTTTATGTTGGGTACTAATTGAGTACCAAATCCAGCCTCTAAAAATCATTAATATTGATTCAAGTTTTTGGGTAGACCCCGTATAACGGTACATACCCTCAAATTTTCGGTATTTTGGGGAACTTGAACAAATTTTTCCCAACCAAAATGATTGTAATTTGTTATTTTGTATTCCCATTTGGTACGAAATCTCCGTACTAAAAGTGATCAATATTGGTCCAATTTTTGTACGTCCCGCATTTGCGGATTTTGACTATTTTGTACAAGTTTTTCGATCGAATTAGCCACCAAAAATTATCAATATTTAATTTTTATTTATTTAAAGTTTTATTTTGTAATTATTTTATTTATTTTTTAATTCTTATTTATTTTTATCATTTCATTATTATGTTTTTATATTAATTTTTACAATTTTTCTCTTAATAATTTATTACTTTAAAATTACTAATTTACAATTTGAATATTTTTTACAGAATTTTTAATAATTTTATGTTTTATGTAAGGTATAGTTAAATTTTATCTATTAATTATATATATATATATATATATATATTATATTTATTAAATATTATATTTATATATTTTTTATTTTATAATTTTTTTAGTTTATTGTAATGTTGTATGTTAATTATTTAACATTATTTATATGGTAATTATTTTTGTTATTACATTTTATGATTCATAATAATTTATTATTTAATTTTATTTATATTCACATTTTTTTATTTAAAATTTAATTTTCTATAATTTTTTTATTTAATTTTAAATTATATTTTAACTTTATTAATTATAATTTTTAATTAATTATTTATATTATTTTCAATTTAATTTTATGTGTGTTTTATTTTTTATTTATTTTCCATAATTAATTTAAAGTAATTTGTTACTTAATTAATATTATTTTTTTTAATTAATCCTTCATTATTTATATATATTTATTTTTAAACTTAATAATTATTAATTATTTGCGTGTTTTATTATTTATTTCTTTTCCATAATTTTAATTATTTTTTAACTATATTAATATTAATATTTTAATTATTTATTTATAATATCTTCTATTATTTTTTTTGTGCTTTAATTTTTTTATCATTTGAAATTAATTTTAATTTTTGTATTTATTACATGCGTTGTTTTTCAATAATCTATACATCATTTGTTTGTTTTTTCCATTAAAAATTTCCATTCACGTTTATGTTTATCCAATTGAACGTGGTAATGTGTCACACATACTACATACATATGCGTAAAACAAAATCCCACACGTCTTGTTACATGCAATTCAACAACGGAGAGGGAAAATAACAACGGCAACAGCAGCAACAACAACACCATGTATTTGAAAACAATCAAAACAAAGAACGCCAGCAACAACAAAAACAACAACAGCTAAATAACATTACAATGAGATATTGAGTGGCTGGCTGGTGTCTGTGTGTATGAAGTGAGCCGCTGCTTGCTGTTGTTGTGTTACCATATATTTGGGTTTGTTATTGTTATTATTGTTGTTGCTTTGATATTCCTCGGCCAAGCAGCACGTATGCTTCGTGGGTTATTGTGTTTCGTTGTCGTGAAACTCTTATCAACAGCAGCAACAACAAAACCTAGACGATTTTTTCTGTTTGTCTACACATGAATGCTGAGATAATGCATTCAAATGGTTAAAGAGGGAGAGAGAGATAGACCGAGAGTGTTAACACATTTAGAGCGAGAGAGAGCACTCACATATGGCAGATAAAGATTTTGAACCTTAATGTATTTAGTTTTATTTTTTATTTTTAATTAAATCACAAATTCACACATTATTATTATTTTATTTTTGTTCACATTGTTATTATTTTTATTGTTGTTGTTGTTTTGCTTTTCGAAATAGTAAAAACCATGTTTTGTTTCGAACATTTTGGAATTTTTGTCAAGTGTTGTGTGTGCCGTTTTTTTGGTTTTCGCTTTGTCACTTGAAAAACGTGATCATTTTATAATTCCAATAAGAAAAAAAAGACATGACACCATGCAAACTGAAACACGGCGCACGCACACCCATACACATATACACAGTCATATAACCGCTATGTTTGTACTCTGGCCACTGCTGACTACGTTTATGGCTGAATGCCTGTGTTTGTGTGTGTGCGTTCATGTATTGGCTTGTTTGTTTTTCTTTTTTGCTTTTGAATGTATCTCGGCGAATGGTGTGGCAAGTGCGGGGCCCATGTGTGTGTGTGTGTTTATGTGTATCTCTGTGTATATTTTAATGAATATCTCATCTATGAGAATAGCGGCACCATGGATTGCTCTTTTAATATTTTTTTGTTGTGTTGTTGTTGTTGCTGTTGTTATTATTTTTTTCTTCTCCTTAGTTTGTCGAGTAACTACAAACTTGTTTACTTGTAAAAATATTTCACTTTTTGGAATTTTCCATGCGTTTTATTGTTGTTGCTGCTTTGCTCTGTGGTGTCGTCAGACACTGTTGCTGTTGTA